GTTTAATATTACTTAGCATAGTATTCATCCATAATGAACTGTAACTTCAAGTTGACCAAGATCTAGCCAATATACTAAACGCACTAGAAAACAAGTTCGATAAGACATCTCAACGACGTTTTAGTATACAGAGGCCTTGCATCTAAGTTGGAAAGATGAAGTAAACAGAGAAGATGACTGTAAAGGAATGGGAAGTTATTGTGCGCCACGAATTTAAAAGAGCATGCAGGATTTAATTAGAGTAAAAAAACAATGAGGAATACATCAAACAATGGGAGCCATAACGAGGAAGAAAAAACAATTACCCTTTACAATACTGACAATGCAAATGTGAAACAAATTTGGAAAATTTGATATTCTTACTATCACACTGAAAAAAGAGAATCTATACTCGATCTTATAGCAGCACCAAGAAGAGTGATCGTGAGAAAAACTAAATATGTTAGTATCAAGGAATGATAAAAACAGACACGCGGACCCGATGAGAAACGCGGAATAATCTGAATTTGCAGATAGCATAAGACAAGATAGATTATTCAGAGAACACAATCGAAATTAAAGTGACCAGAGGCTGTTAAGATAGGAGAAATAATGATGGAAGATTATAAATAAGTAAAGAAAAGGAGACTCGACTACATTATTTTATACTAGTTACAAATTTACATATACCGACCAATAGATGAAGCATACAAGACGCTTTTAAATAGAAAATGTCATGAATAATTAAGGCAGTATAATAATAAAGCCAATCAAAGTTGCTCGAGGACATAAGGAGGAAATGTTTCTAAAATCAGCTAAGAAATAATAGGTAGGGTCAATTAGCATAATTAGAAACTACTGGAATTCGGCGCAAAATTCATATTGCGGTTTTACCTGGAGAAAATTGGGGAGGACTGGGATTATAGCAATGCGATTAATATTTACCCAATCCTTCACGTATCCTGGTGGACAGGCGAGACTGCCTCGATGCCTGTACTTCTGTCCTTCGGGGATCATCAATTACTTTGCTAGTATCAGATGAATCTCGTAGACGAAAGTGTCGGTAGCTGGTATTATTGGAGTGTGTAGAAGATGGGTCCTTGAAAGTACTAGGGATGTGGGAATGAGACGATTTATTAATGGCCACTACTGATGAAGGCCGCAACAATGGCCACCATTTACTAGTGGAATATCGATTGAAACTCGGTTTCGGCTTAGAGCCGGCGGCTTCAACAAGCTCTTCATCATCTGAATTAGCGAGACGACCACAACGGAGTCGGAAGTTAGCAGACTGAGATAGCAGGATAAAGAAAATATTATGAGAAGTGGGATCTGATATTATATAAGCATATATGTCGTTTTGTACGATATGAGAGGTTAATCAAGAAAAAAACCTAAAAAGTAGTAAAGTAAACTACCATGAAAATGTCTGTACCCATAGACTAAAAAATAAGTCAAAATTTGACTGTACAAGAGTCAGCTGATACAAAAAGAAGAGGAACTATAAGCTTAAGTTAAGGATTCTCTTTTCAATGTTTTATATTGTGCTAGGATGGTTAAGGGCAGTGCCAATTATCAGCGATACACCGAACTAGGACTCTAGTCGAATATAACCAGGCTAAGAGAAGCTATATTAATTTATATATCTAGAAACAAATATAGTGTATGAGAACTCACCGTCTGATATGTTAAGAAGCCAGGATCCATGCAGCTGGAAATCAAATAAGTGAGAAGAGAAGCAGAAAGCACGATGAGATAACAGATCACCTGAGGCCGGTCATTTCGACTAAGGAGCATGTGCAGAAGTGCTAAGTAAAAGCGATTCGGAGAAACGAAAGAGATTTTATTTATTTTCCGTTCATAAGTTGATTTTCGAAATTATGAGTTGATCCTATATAAAAACTGCATTCATCTTAGTTTTGATGAATCTGCCTTATGTTTTCATAGACTTGCCTTACAAAAGGATGAATTGTAGTTTCGACCTCGCACAAGCTGGTCTCATTAGCACCCCCAGCAGGATTCTAACCCTGGTAGTGTATAATGTCAACACGTTAGCCACACGCCACACTGCCACCTTAGGCGAGATAGAGTGAATACATCTCATATATATGATTTACTGGTAGTCCCGAAAACATACTTATAAACAAAAATAAGTACTAGAACATGTGAAGACCAAGATGTTGTGGCCTCGGGTATGGTCGCAGTCTCCTTTCGACTTATAGAAGTGGGTTGACCTCTTTGTCGCAACTTGGTCTTGTGTTCAGGGAGACTATGTAGAACCCACCGAGTCCAAAGTCGTCTGCCATAGTAGTTGTCTTGATTCACAGCATCTGACAGCGGACC